AATAGTACAGATATCCCCCAAATGTCAGAATAGTACAGATATCCCCCAAATGTCAGGACAGTACAGATATCCCCCAAATGTCAGGACAGTACAGATATCCCCCAAATGTCAGAACAGTACAGATATCCCCCAAATGTCAGAACAGTACAGATATCCCCCAAATGTCAGAACAGTACAGATATCCCCCAAATGTCAGGACAGTACAGATATCCCCCAAATGTCAGAACAGTACAGATATCCCCCAAATGTCAGAACAGTACAGATATCCCCCAAATGTCAGGACAGTACAGATATCCCCCAAATGTCAGAACAGTACAGATATCCCCCAAATGTCAGGACAGTACAGATATCCCCCAAATGTCAGGACAGTACAGATATCCCCCAAATGTCAGAACAGGACAGATATCCCCCAAATGTCAGAATAGTACAGATATCCCCCAAATGTCAGGACAGTACAGATATCCCCCAAATGTCAGAATAGTACAGATATCCCCCAAATGTCAGGACAGTACAGATATCCCCCAAATGTCAGGACAGTACAGATATCCCCCAAATGTCAGAACAGTACAGATATCCTCCAAATGTCAGAATAGTACAGATATCCCCCCAATGTCAGAACAGTACAGATATCCCCCAAATGTCAGAACAGTACAGATATCCCCCAAATGTCAGAACAGGACAGATATCCCCCAAATGTCAGAACAGTACAGATATCCCCCAAATGTCAGAATAGTACAGATATCCCCCAAATGTCAGAATAGTACAGATATCCCCCAAATGACCCCTTTTTGCAGAGTAGACAGTCCGACGTACTTCATAAGGGGAATGGCGAGTTTTTTGAAGTTGTATTTTTTTTGTCATAATTTTTCGGAAAATGAAAAAATTAAAAAAATTATTTTCACTATTTTTTTTTTTACATACTGTCACCAGTGCAGTACAGCGTCATCATATAACTGGCATGGCGGTGATCAGGGACACTGACTGGTGACAGTATGAAAAATATATATATATTTTTTTTGTATTATTTTTAATTTTTTATTACATTTTTTTTTAAGATTTTTTTTTCATATTTTACTATGACCAAATTAGTACAATGTTACCATAGTAACATTGTACTACTTTGGGGAAGTGATCAGTATTTTTTTTTTTTTTTTTTTACCCAATTTGCTTATAGCAAAGAATTACTTTGCTATAAGCAAGCATTTACCTGAATGAAATCGATTCATTCAGGTTTTTTTTTTTTTTTTTTTTTTGTGCTTAGCTGTGATTTGGTCACAGCTAATCACATGACATGTGCATGTGACCTGCTGTGACCATTTACAGCTAGGCACTAGTATACAATGGATGGCATGAATGAAGCCATCCATTGTATACAACTGTCATGTGACCTGCTGTGATTGGTCACAGCAGGTCACATGGTACCAGCAACGGGGGCGGCACTCAGATCTGTCATCGGCCGTGTCTGAGGTACACGGCCGGTGACAGATCGCGCCGCTGCGCTGCTCTGCAACCGCGCAAACTGCGCATGTGCGGGAGGACGCCAAATGGCATACACCCCGGAATGCCGAAGCGCTTTTGCGGCCGTCAAACGCCCATTGGCCGGGTGGCAAATGGTTAATTGGTTTATTATTATTATACAGGATTTATATAGAGCCAGAAAGGATTGCTCAGCGCTGTACAGTAGCAAGGGGGACAGAACATGAGACAAGACAGTAACAATACAATACACGAGGGGATCAAGGGCCCTGCTCTTTCCAGCTTACAATCTAGTTTATGTGAAATTTATAGTGTTTACAAATGGCGGTATATATACTGGGATTTTTTTTTTTTTTTTCATTTTTTTTATTAGTAATGGTGGTGATCAGCAACTTATAGAGGGACTGCAATGGGGGGGGGAACTGACTAACTGCCACTGACATCCCCTGTGACACCAAAACAGTGATCAGTGCTAAAAAAAATGACACTGTACTAATTACAATGGGCAGGAAGGGGTTAACATCTGGGGCAGGGTGGATTTGATTTAAATCACTAGTCAGTAAGGCTTGATGTAAATCCTAGTTTTCTACATAAAGACTAATTCTTGCTGGTGTAACTTTAATATACAAGTAGATGAAGATTTTTAGAATAACAACTTTTCATATTTGTTTTTTTATCCCCAGTTTAATAGGTTAATCATTCATATTTGGACAACTTTTCTGTTGTACTAAGGAAGGAGAAAAATAATCATTACCTTAATAATAACAATTTAAATAGATTTATTCAACTGAAACAATAACATTCCAGCAGATGTGATTGGCTTAAACATCCATGTTTGGTAACTAATTTGGCTAAACAAAATATATATATTTTAAGAAACTTAGACTGTCAGCCCCTCCTCCTCACACTGTCAGCCCCTTCCTCCTCACACTGTCAGCCCCTTCCTCCTCACACTTAGTTTCACTTTCTTCTTGTGCAGATCTATTCCACTCCAAACAATCAGACAAATATTGTTTCTATTCTATTCACTGAACTTCTTGAAACTTAGCAGTGAAGGGGTTGATTCTGTATTCATAGGTTTGTAGAAGTTAGGATGAAGGTCTTTTTCTGAACTCTGTTCATGTTATAACATTTTTGCTGTGAAGAAGAGGCCTGTGATCTCCGCTGAGTCAAATTCAGTTTGGAGAACTGCAAAAGTAAACCGAGCATCTGTGATAATATCTTGTAGGCAGAGAAACTGCCCAATAATCTTACAAAAACCTCTGGAAGAGCATGACATTGTGAATGGATTCATGGAATTTATTTACCAAAAAAATGAAACATATACAGCCTTATTCTACATAATTAAAAAACTAATCTTTATTTCATGATGGAATAACCTTTGGATGGTAATATATTTTCCTCAAAAAGCATTTTATTTAAAAAAAAATCAGATTTAAATCAAAAAAAAATCTGATTGTTTTTTTTTTTTTTTTAAAAATCAGTGATTTTTATCCACCCTGATCTGGGGTGATCAAAGGGTTAACTGTGAGGCGCATAGCACAGCCATACAAAGCAGTGTGCTTACAGTGTAAATCACACACAGTGAAACAGCACACAGTTAACCCTTTGATCGCCCCTCATGTTAACCCCTTCCTGCCCAGTGTCATTAGTACAGTGTCAGTGTTTTTTATTAGCACTGATCACTGTATTGGTGTCACTGGGGATCTCAGTGACACTAAGCCAGTTCCGCCCAAGTGTCAGAATGCCCGCTGTAGTCCTGCTATAAGTCGCTGATCGCCGCCATTACTAGTATAGAAAAAATCCCAGTATCTATATCGCCATTTCTAAACGCTATAACTTTCACGTAAACCAATTAATTTACACGTATTGGGATGTTTTTTAGCAAAGACATGGAGCAGAATACATTTTGGCCTAAATTTATAACGAAGTTTTATTTTTTTACTGGTCACGTTTAATGGCAAAAAGTCAAAAATATTGTTTTTTTTTCTCAAAATTGTCGGCTTTTTTTTTTCTCTAAAGCACAAAAAATAAAAACCGCACAGGTGATCAAATACCACCAAAAGAAAGCTCAATGCTTGGGAAAAAAGGATGTAAATTTCATTTGGGTGCAGCATTGCATGACCGCACAACTGTCAGTTAAAATATTTAAGCCATATCGCAAAAAATGGCCTAGTCAGGAAAAGGGGGGGGGGGGGGGGGATCCTCAGGAGGGCAAGTGGATAGCTCTGAACCCACTGAGTTCATTCACCACATTCATCTGTCATGCTGCAGGAGGGGTAATGGGGCCTTGGATACATGGCGAAGGTAGTCAGGCGTTGTGTGGAGGGGGGGGAGGTTGAGGAAGAGTGTAAAAGTGTAAATTTCACTACAACCTAAACAACCCGAATCTGAAACTCCTTCCTCATTACAGGAGACTGCTAAGGTTAGAAGGTGACCCATCTCCACAACGAGGAGAAGGTGACCCATCTCCGCAACGAGAAGAAGGTGACCCATCTCCACAACGAGGAGAAGGTGACCCATCTCCGCAACGAGAAGAAGGTGACCCATCTCCACAACGAGGAGAAGGTGACCCATCTCCACAACGAGGAGAAGGTGACCCATCTCCACAACGAGGAGAAGGTGACCCATCTCCACAACGAGGAGAAGGTGACCCATCTCCACAACGAGGAGAAGGTGACCCATCTCCGCAACGAGAAGAAGGTGACCCATCTCCACAACGAGGAGAAGGTGACCCATCTCCACAACGAGGAGAAGGTGACCCATCTCCACAACGAGGAGAAGGTGACCCATCTCCACAACGAGGAGAAGGTGACCCATCTCCACAACGAGGAGAAGGTGACCATCCCACAACAAGAAGAAGGTGACCCATCTCCACAACGAAGAGGTGACCCATCTCCACAACGAGGAGAAGGTGACCCATCACCACAACAAAGAGAAGGTGACCCATCTCCACAACGAGGAGAAGGTGACCCATCTCCACAACGAAGAGAAGGTGACCCATCTCCACAACGAAGAGAAGGTGACCCATCTCCACAACGAGGAGAAGGTGACCCATCTCCACACGAGGAGAAGGTGACCCATCACCACATCGAAGAGAAGTTGACCCATCACCACAAAGAAGAGAAGGTGACCCATCACCACATCGAAGAGAAGGTGACCCATCACCACAAAGAAGAGAAGGTGACCCATCACCACATCGAAGAGAAGGTGACCCATCACCACAACGAAGAAAAGGTGACCCATCACTACAACGAAGAGAAGGTGACCAATCTCCACAACGAGGAGAAGGTGACCCATCTCCACAACGAAGAGAAGGTGACCCATCTCCACAATGAGAAGAATGCTCCAGCCCCATATGTGGGGGAATGTTGTGCCCCTGAAGGGGTTAATCTGGGTTCCCACACTATATATGTGTGTATCATCATCTGCTGGAGATAAAAGACGTCACAGTGACTATGGAGGAAGAGGACGGACATGACGGGGGGGTTACTAGGTGTAAATAGGAAATAACATCTTATTACCTCCTCTGCTGCCACTTCCACCAACGTCTCCTCTTTTTTGCGTATCACATGGGACTTTCTGTCTACATCTGACATCACTTCCTATTTACACCTGACATCACTTCCTGTCTTTCTTCCATAGAGACTTCCTGTCTGAGTACAAGTGAGATCAGCACCTAGTGGGGCTCAAAGGAACTGCAGCCCCGAGAACCATCTTGTAGTGTGACCCCGGCCTTGTGCTGTGTGTATGGACTGTAGATCCTTATAGAGGGGTCACCTCCACTCCCACCAAGGGGGACAGAAATATATCACTGCCTAGTCCAGCCTTTCCCAGCCAGGGTTCCTCCAAAGGTATCAATGGGTTCTGTTAAATATCAACAATTTCTGTCTCTCAGTAACAACTGGTATCAATGATCTGTAAGTCTTCCCATTGATGAGCATGTAGGAATGTCCTTCTCCCGCTGACCACTGATATAAGGGGGTCCTTCTCCCATTGTTCATCAATGTAAGGGACCGCTACACTAACCACTGATATAAGCGGATTCTTCTTCCATTGAACACCAATGTAAGGGACCACTACAGTGATCACTGATATAAGGGGGTCCTTCTCCTGCTGACCACTGATATAAAAGGGTCCTTCTCCCATTGGTCATCAATGTAAGGGACCGCTACACTGACCACTGATATAAGGGGGGTCCTTCTCCCATTGGTCATCAGTGTATGGGACCACTACACTGACCACTGATATAAGTGGGTCCTTCTCCCATTGGTCACCAGTGTAAGGGACCACTACACTGACCACTGATATAAGGGAGTCCTTCTCCCATTGGTCACCAGTGTAAGGGACCACTACACTGACCACTGATATAAGGGGGTCCTTCTCCCATTGGTCACCAATGTAAGGGACCACTACACTGACCACTGATATAATGGGGTCCTCCCATTGATCACCAATGTAAGGGACCACTACACTGGCCACTGATATAAAGGGGATTGAGAAAAGGGATAACATTCATTGCCATTACCATTGATGCAGGAGTGGGGAGCTAACTTTCACTGCCATTACAGCTAATGCAGGGATGGGTAATTTACTTTCACTGCCACTGACCCCCCCCCCCCCCCTATTGGCTGTCAGTGGCAGCAAAAATTAACCTCCCTCTTGCAATGGTGGTCATGGTAGTGAAATTTTAACCCATCATTCCCCCTTTTGCATTTGTGGTCCTGACAGTGAAAGTTAACCCCCTCTCTCTGCCACACCCACTTTTTGTTGCGGCTCGCTAAGCGCTCCGCTGGTTGCTGTCTTCCTGGTAGGGGCCCCAGTGCATTTTTTTTTCCTCACGGGCCCATGATGCTATTAAGACAGCCCTGTTCAGTAAAGCTGTGAAGGAGGACAGAAATGTGCTTCAAGATTGGACATGATAGGACTCATTGCTCATCTCCTTCTTGTTTATGTTTATATTGCAGGTATGGCAAATGGTGGAAAATTCCGAACACCAAATTATTTTGCTCAGAGAAATATAATGGTGGAATCCTTGGTCACAAAAGGCAAGTAGTAGCCTTCTGGAGCAGCTGTAAAGCAACAAGTCTGTCAGGAATGGACTAGCCAGCAATGGTGGGACTCACCTGCCTTTTGATCTGCAGTACCAGGGCTGGCCAGCGGGTGCTCCCAGCAATCAGAGACTCAACTTTGCAGCCAGCTAACACCTGGAACTGATTATGCTGGGGTATTTAAGGGATGGCCAGACTTGCAGACTCTGCCTTGGTGTTGTGTTCTCTTGGGCCCTGTATCCTGTTCCTGCTCTCTGATTCTCTGCTGACCCTGTGATCCCTGTCCATCCCTCTGCTCTGTCTGATTCTGCTGCTGACCCTCTCTGATCCCTGGCTTGTCTGCCCTCTGCCTGCTCTGATCTGCTGCTTGTCTGACCTGATCCCTGGCTTGTGACCCTGACCATCCCTCCGCCTTACCCTACTGTACTACGCTGCTTGCTACCTGCTGAACCTGGCCTGTGACCCCGACCCATCTCCGCTTGCTCCCCCTGTACCTACCTGCCCTATTGATATTGACCCGGCCTGCCTGACGACGCGCTTTGCTTGTATGTACTGTTATCTGTGGGTGGTTGGTTGGGTTTGGTTTTTGCACTGTATTATGTTTTAGTATTGCACTGCGTTTATGTTTGTATTGTTAGTGTTAATAAATTATATTGTTTATAACATATCTGAGGTCTGCGTTTCCCTGCGTCAGCCACACACCTCTGGTCACACCTGGGAGCCCTGACATTACACCAAGGCCAATCCTGACCAGAAGTGGCTGCACAGGGAAGCCATCTTGGCTTGTTGCTGGGAAGGATGGATCTGGATGAGGTTTGTGTATTTATATCTGCTAGTGTTTGATGACAGGGAGTATGCTTATCAAACTCTGAAGGAGTATCCCCGGGATGAACTACTAGAATGTATACAGCTCGCTCATGTTCTAGTAGATCAGGGCACAGAGTTCTCTGAGGTGCAGCCTTTGATTGAGGTTTGTGCTGAGTTGGTTTCATCTGGTTCCTCCGAATGCAGGGATGAATTTTTGCCACCATTTAGTGCAGACCAGGTAGAGTCCCTGGTGTGGTTATTAGAGGATGATGTGGGTTACTTTCTGGAGCGTTATTCCACATGTTTCACCACAGACACGAAGAGATTGTATAAACGCAGTGCAGTCATTGACCAGACAGGCTTTGTGTAAGCTCAGCTTTGTTCAACCCATACTGCAGACATGGACAGACTTGTTGCACCCAGCCTCAGTCAGCTTACAAAAACCCAGTCCTGCTTCTAACTCTACTCCTGTATTCCCACCAGCTCCTCCAGTTACAGCCCAGTATACTTGGCTATCTACCGCATGTCAGTACCCTGTTCCCACTCGCTGCACCTATCCTGCCTTTAACCCTGTAAAAAAGCCCTCTCTGTAGCAACTGCTCCCTCTCCTGTTCCATCCTCCAGTTTTTCTCTGTCTCCAGCTGCTCCATTCGTTTGCAGACCTGCGTTTACTTGCAGTGCTCCAGTAGTTAAAACCAGAAAAAAAAGCGAAAATTCTTTCCAACCAATACCATCCTGCCAGTATCCAAACTGGTGAACCTGCCTTCCGTGACTCGGCCTGAAGCCTCTACTCAGCCGGAAGCCTCTCCTCAGCCGGAAGCCTCTCCTCAGCCGGAAGCCTCTCCTCAGCCGGATGCCTCTCCTCAGCCGGATGCCTCTCCTCAGCCGGATGCCTCTCCTCAGCCGGATGCCTCTCCTCAGCCTGAAGCCTCTCTACTCAGCCTGAAGCCTCTCTATCAGCCTGAAGCCGCTACTCAGCATGATGAACTGATCCAGCCCGACGGTCCTATTAGGCCAGTTGACTCGATGCCCGCGCTGTTGATCCAGATGATCCGGTACCTGATCCAGTGCCCGCTGTCGTGCCAATTGACTCCGAGCCCGCTGTCATACCTGGTGACCCGGTGCCCACTGCCTTGCCAGATGACGCGGTGCCCGCTGGCAAGCCAAATGACCTGATGCCTGGTGACCCAGTGCCCGCTGTCATACCTGGTGTGACCCGATGCCCGCTGTCGAGCCAGACAATCCGATACCTGATGACCCGGTGCCCACTGTCGTGCCTGTTGACTCGGAGCCCACTGTCTTGCCAGACGATTCGGTGCCCGCTGTTCCGCCAGTCGACTCGGTGCCCGCAGTCTTGCCAGACAACTCGGTGCCCGCTGTCTTGCCAGACGACTCGGTGCCCGCAGTCTTGCCAGACGACTCGGTGCCCGCAGTCTTGCCAGTTGACTCTATGCCCGCTGTTCCGCCAGACGACTCGGTGCCCGCAGTCTTGCCAGACGACTCGGTGCCCGCAGTCTTGCCAGACGACTCGGTGCCCGCAGTCTTGCCAGACGACTCGGTGCCCGCAGTCTTGCCAGACGACTCGGTGCCCGCAGTCTTGCCAGACGACTCGGTGCCCGCAGTCTTGCCAGTCGACTCGGTGCCCGCAGTCTTGCCAGACGACTCGGTGCCCGCAGTCCCGCCAGTTGACTCGGTGCCCGCAGTTCCGCCAGTTGACTCGGTGCCCGCTGTTCCGCCAGTTGACTCGGTGCCCGCAGTCTTGCCAGACGACTCGGTGCCCGCAGTCTTGCCAGACGACTCGGTGCCCGCAGTCTTGCCAGACGACTCGGTGCCCGCAGCCTTGCCAGACGACTCGGTGCCCGCAGCCTTGCCAGTTGACTCTATGCCCGCTGTTCCGCCAGACGACTCGGTGCCCGCAGTCTTGCCAGACGACTCGGTGCCCGCAGTCTTGCCAGACGACTCGGTGCCCGCAGTCTTGCCAGACGACTCGGTGCCCGCAGTCTTGCCAGACGACTCGGTGCCCGCAGTCTTGCCAGACGACTCGGTGCCCGCAGTCTTGCCAGACGACTCGGTGCCCGCAGTCTTGCCAGACGACTCGGTGCCCGCTGTTCCGCCAGTTGACTCGGTGCCCGCAGTCTTGCCAGACGACTCGGTGCCCGCAGCCTTGCCAGACGACTCGGTGCCCGCAGCCTTGCCAGACGACTCGGTGCCCGCAGCCTTGCCAGACGACTGGGTGCCCGCAGCCTTGCCAGACGACTGGGTGCCCGCAGCCTTGCCAGACGACTGGGTGCCCGCAGCCTTGCCAGACGACTGGGTGCCCGCAGCCTTGCCAGACGACTGGGTGCCCGCAGCCTTGCCAGACGACTGGGTGCCCGCAGCCTTGCCAGACGACTGGGTGCCCGCAGCCTTGCCAGACGACTGGGTGCCCGCAGCCTTGCCAGACGACTGGGTGCCCGCAGCCTTGCCAGACGACTGGGTGCCCGCAGCCTTGCCAGTCGACTCGGTGCCGGCAGCCTTGCCAGTCGACTCGGTGCCGGCAGCCTTGCCAGTCGACTCGGTGCCGGCAGCCTTGCCAGTCGACTCGGTGCCGGCAGCCTTGCCAGTCGACTCGGTGCCGGCAGCCTTGCCAGTCGACTCGGTGCCGGCAGCCTTGCCAGTCGACTCGGTGCCGGCAGCCTTGCCAGTCGACTCGGTGCCGGCAGCCTTGCCAGACGACTCGGTGCCGGCAGCCTTGCCAGACGACTCGGTGCCGGCAGTCTTGCCAGACGACTCGGTGCCCGCAGTTCCGCCAGTTGACTCGGTGCCCGCAGCCTTGCCAGACGACTCGGTGCCCGCAGCCTTGCCAGACGACTCGGTGCCCGCAGTTTCCGCCAGTTGACTCGGTGCCCGCAGCCTTGCCAGACGACTCTGTGCCCGCAGCCTTGCCAGACGACTCGGTGCCCGCAGCCTTGCCCCGCCCGCAGCCTTGCCAGACGACTCGGTGCCCGCAGTCTTGCCAGACGACTCGGTGCCCGCTGTTCCGCCAGTTGACTCGATGCCCGCTGTTCCGCCAGTTGACTCGGTGCCCGCAGTCTTGCCAGACGACTCGGTGCCCACTGTCGTGCCTGGTGACTCGGTGCCCGCCGCTTCGCCTGGGGGCCCGAGACCTGTTGCTCCGCCTGAGGGCCCGAGACCTGTCGCTCCATCTGGGGGTCCGGCGCCCGCCGCCCCCGCCTGGGGGCCCGATGCCCGTCGCCCCTCCCGGGGGCCCGGTGCCTGTCGCCCCTCCCGGGGGCCCGGTGCCTGTCGCCCCTCCCGGGGGGCCCGGTGCCTGCCGCCCCCCGGGGGCCCGGTGCCCGCCGCTCCGCCCGGTGGCCCGCTGCCTGCCGCTTCGCCTGGTAATCCGATGTGCCTCTGCCCGGTCCAGCCCGATGTCCAGTCCCCGATGTGCCTCTGCCCGGAGTCCAGCCCGATGTGCCTCTGCCCGGAGTCCAGCCCGATGTGCCTCTGCCCGGAGTCCAGCCCGATGTGCCTCTGCCCGGAGTCCAGCCCGATGTGCCTCTGCCCGGAGTCCAGCCCGATGTGCCTCTGCCCGGAGTCCAGCCCGATGTGCCTCTGCCCGGAGTCCAGCCCGATGTGCCTCTGCCCGGAGTCCAGCCCGATGTGCCTCTGCCCGGAGTCCAGCCCGATGTGCCTCTGCCCGGAGTCCAGCCCGATGTGCCTCTGCCCGGAGTCCAGCCCGATGTGCCTCTGCCCGGAGTCCTGCCCGATGTGCCTCTGCCCGGAGTCCTGCCCGATGTGCCCCTGCCCGGTGTGCTGCTGCCCGGAGTCCTGCCCGGTGTGCCAGTCTTTGATATCCCGCCAGTTACCAGACCCGGGCGGTGGAACATTTTGCCCAGCTAGGACTGTTTGGAGCGTCCTGAGGCCGCTCCTTGAGGGGGGGGTACTGTCAGGAATGGACTAGCCAGCAATGGTGGGACTCACCTGCCTTTTGATCTGCAGTACCAGGGCTGGCCAGCGGGTGCTCCCAGCAATCAGAGACTCAACTTTGCAGCCAGCTAACACCTGGAACTGATTATGCTGGGGTATTTAAGGGATGGCCAGACTTGCAGACTCTGCCTTGGTGTTGTGTTCTCTTGGGCCCTGTATCCTGTTCCTGCTCTCTGTTCCTGTCTGATTCTCTGCTGACCCTGCTCTGATCCCTGGCTTGTCTGACCATCCCTCTGCCTGACCCTCTGTACTACGCTGCTTGCTACCTGTTCTGATCCCTGGCTTGTGACCCTGACCATCCCTCCGCCTTACCCTCTGTACTATGCTGCTTGCTACCTGCTGAACCTGGCCTGTGACCCCGACCCATCTCCGCTTGCTCCCCCTGTACCTACCTGCCCTATTGATATTGACCCGGCCCTGCCTGACGACGCTTGCTTGTATGTACTGTTATCTGTGGGTGGGTTGGTTTGGTTGCACTGTATTATGTTTTAGTATTGCACTGCGTTTATGTTTGTATTGTTAGTGTTAATAAATTATATTGTTTATAACATATCTGAGGTCTGCGTTTCCCTGCGTCAGCCACACACCTCTGGTCACACCTGGGAGCCCTGACAAAGTCCTTTCAGACTCTAAGCTGCGCTCATCAACTGCTGGATACGGAGTCTTCTCAGACTCCTAGCTGATCCCATCAGCTGCAGGGTAATGAGTCTGGCCACTTGCCCCTCACCGGATTGGTCCTCTGCACAGGAGGTGCCCTTTTTAAATGTCATCAGCCTGTGCCTCTGTGCTTGTCACAGCATCCATTGCCTGGCTTCCTGTGTGTTCCCTTGTCTGACTCAGATCTGCTATTATCTTGATTTTTTTTGTAGACCTTTGCCTACCTGGATTGCTGTTGAAATTGACCTTGGACTGTTAGCTGGACTACACTTGTTTCTACCAGTCCTGCTCTAGGAACTGTTATCTCGCTACCTGCTGTTTGCTCACTACCTGCCATGACTTTGGACTGTCATTGAATTCAGCTACCAGCCACTTGTAGGGCAGATGGGCGAGACTTCCTCCATGTTCCCCTCCTCGTTGGGTGCCAAGTGTAGACCACATCAGTGGCCTACCCAGGGTGGGTTCTTCTGGGCTACATGAGGCACCTAGTCTGCGGTCACTATCTTGCACATGGGGTATCTTTACTTGTGTCATACTCATCAATGCCCAGGACAAGATAAAGGCCACTTTCAGGGATTACTCAAACTTAAGGCGGGCCTCCAACTTAGAGATGGTTGTACACCATGTATACTTGAGCAATACAGTGGACTCCAGGTAACACTCTCCATTCCGGTGTCAATGTACACCTTCACTGTCACTGTTGCATTTAGGAGGGACATACTGAGCCAACGCCAGCTCCACCTCTCCCTCATATATCCATTGCCTCACTCCCAGTAATATAATAGAGTCCTGCCGAGCACCCCATGTGTGTTGTTTATTAATTCTTCCTCTTCCATACCTAGTGCACAGACTGGGGATCTGCGGTGCTGATCTGCTCCTGTTATTATGGTGATGGACTGGTAGGGGAGAGAGCGCAGAAAGCAACTCTCTCACTGTAAGTGGACATCCCACCTGTCAAAGGTACAGGCTGCTTGTTAGACCTCTATTACCTTGAGTAACCACTTGCTGTTCTCTTCACCAGGTTGAGTCTAGTTGCACTGTCTTCATCCCCCAATGTGCCTTACAGATCCCAACTGTAGACTATGTGTAGTGTTGTTTACTTCCATACACCCCTTAAAAACTTCAGAACAAGCAAAGAAAATTTTCTTGAAATATCCTAATCATTATAGACAACAGCATAACAGTCATTCCCTAACCTATTCCCTAACTCATTCTTGGCTGCCCCAGCATACCTGCACAGGTTTGAGTTCATGTAAATGCAATTCCATTTTGGAGGTAGTCAAGCATCTGGTGTTCTTCAGGGTAAACTGCAGGTTCCAGCAGTTCCCCTACATGTTGAAGGCTCCAAGACACAGGAATAAGGCCCAGAGTAACAGCAAGACTGGCAGAGACGAGCAAGCCTCACAATGAAAAAGCAAAAGGGAAGAGTCTCTTTCTGTAAGCAGCTAGAGATTATATCTTGGAGGCTGTCTTTGTTCTTCTCTCAGGCAGCAGACTGAGTCTTAGCAGAGCCCTCTCCCCTTTTATTCACAGCACAGGGAGAGAGGCAAGTCTCAAAAAAGTGTGGGAAACTGTATTAAGCCTTCCCTGCCAGCTGGGGCAGCAGCTGGCTAAACTACTAGTAGGCAACGTGCTTACACACTGTCTACTGCCTGACCAGCCTCAAGTGTATTCTTTCTTTTCTTTTTCCAGTCGATCAGCC